TACTCACTTTTTCCCATCTGTCTCATTTTCATTTGATTGCCCCTAATAAATACATTGAAAGAAAATAATTTGTAATAAAAAAAACCAATAAGCATCAAAATATCAAAAATAAACAGCATTAAATAAATGTATGTTATTAAATTGTATAATATAATAATACACATTAGAATTGCTGAATGACTAATGAATATTTTATTTGTTATAAAAATATATTTGGAGATTAATCCACAAAACTGAACAGGCTAATATAGCAAATTTGCAATAATAGAACAATAGTTTTGAGATAATATCATATTTTAGTTTAATCTAATTTAACTAAAGCATTAATGTAGTAGAATCTGTTCATTTTAATCACAAATATTATCAGAATTACCAATTCTCATAACATGTGAATTATGTCAATTGTAAAACTTTATTTATTGTATTCAGAGATTGATTATAGTTATCATTATATTGTGTTTTTACACAAAACAGGAACAGAAGACTTCATGAGTTCACATTAGAAAGAGAAACTCAAAAACATTAACAAAAGTTAAAACATTAATTTGGTTAAGTGCTTTTAAGGATTTTCATTTCCATCTTCAGATCAACTGCATTCTGATAATTTGAATTGAACACCTTTTTTGAGTTTCTCTTTCTAATGTTGTTATTTTCAGGTAGACAAAAAGCGTTCTTTATACTATTTGTCTCAAATGGTGGCTGTAATGCTCAATTGACATGTCTTAACCAGTGCTTTAAACATTAATTTCTTATTAATAATTTAAATTGCTGTACAGTGTAATTCATTGGCATTTTTTACTTTAATTACACACTAGGCATTGTTAAAGATGTATTGCAAAACCCAACAAGCAAACAACATGATAAATTTCTATAAATGATAATGATAATTATAATTAATAAAATTTTAAATTATACATTTTTAATTGCTTTAACATGTCCTTTTAATATCAAACTCACTAAAATCAGAATTTTTACTAATTGTAGTCTTCTTCACATATGTTAATGTTATGTTTAGTTACTATTATTAGTTTTGGCAATCTGTGATACAAAAACAGCAAGTAGTTTATATTGTTGTTTGAAAATAAACAAAAAATGTATTTGAATTCATAGAATGCTTTCACAAAATATTCAGTTGAATTAAAAATATTGAAAATAATGATCACTAATAACACAACTACAACTGGTGACAAATTATAAATCAACAATACCTTTAAAAAACCAATGGCATTTTAATATTTTTGAACGTTTTGAGCTTTAAGTTCAGCCATCTTCAAGATATATTATTCCCTAATGGATTGCATGTACAGAATCTTACATTCTTCAAATTAATTAGCATCTGAATTTTTTAAAAACAACTACAAAGCTGGAACAATATTTAAATGAGTACCTTTCACTTCTTACTTATTTCCCAGTACATAGTTTTCTAGTTCAGATGAACATTTTCAGTTGCTTATGTGGTCCTTCTCAGGTATAAATAGCTTATTGAGAAGAATCAGTTGTGTTCCAAGACGTTTGAAGCTTTTTAAATTTTCATCTTTAGAGGAATTCATTGCATGGAATGAAGTGGATTCTGCTAAAGACAAAAATTTGTATAGATTTTATTTTTAAATTATGACAGTTTTTAAACTACAGTAGAGCGTCGATTTTCCGAAAGTCAGTCATCCAAAACGTCAATCATCCGAAAGATTTCCAGTTGGCAAATTTAAATTTTCGCCAGTGCTGTGGAGCTTCAATCTTTGGCTGTGTCTTGGGCTACTCAAATATTTTACGTTTTTGATACTAAATTAACATCTGAAGTATAATTTTTTATTGTTTTATATTTTTCAATATATTTATTTTGTTTGTACAAAATAAAAAATAATTTTTAACGATACAATAGTCTTTGTTAGACTTAACATCGACAAAAATTCAACACAAAGCGACACGCAACGGAGAAAATTTTCAACATAGGATACGTTAAACTATTTTTTCGTACATAAATCAGTTATCCGAAATATCAGTTATACGAACAACCCCAGTCCCCAATTGATTCGGAAAATCGACGCTCTACTGTATTATTAAAACAACATACATCAAAATGAATAATAATAGTCCTTTATTTATGTAAGGCTAATGTTATTCAAACACATTTTTCAACACAAAAATAATAGTGCTTTAAGCAGACAAATATTTTTATTTTTTTGCATAAATACACATGAAAATAATGGTATTAATTGACAAAATACAGTGAAGCATTGTGTGTAAGCATATAAAAATGCAATTTGTTGTAGTAGGGCATGAGAAGGGTGTTATTTAGTATTGTTGTAATTGTCAAAGTTTCAAGCCTAAAGCTCTACAAATATCTGCTCAACATTTGCTTGCCCCCCAAGCAGTAACCAATCACCTTCCATTTTTTCATCAGTTGTTAGGTTTCCATGACTTCTTACTGCTTTCTTTCACAGACTCTAATGTATGCTCTGGATTCACAATTAATTAATAGATCATTACTTAGAACTAATTAAATGTTAAACAGCATTTTGTATTTATTAGACCTAGATTTCACCAATACAACTCATGTGGCACTAACATAAAGCATTATAGGCAGTGAATGGCAATGATTTCATGCTGCCATGTACACAATTGTAATTTTGAACATAATTAGAACCATTGTAACTCAAGAATTATCTGAATTTAATATAATCTGCATTTTGGGACATTAGTTGAAATACTGAATAACAACAAATTTAAAAAAAATGAAAGAAAAAAAATAGGAATAATTCATAAAAATAATTGAAGAACTTTTCAAAATAAGTATTAAATTTCACAATGAAAAGTTTATAAAATGTAGGAAAAGTAGCAGGATAATTTATTCAATCAAAATTTAAAGCTTTCATTTAATTAATATAATATTGCAACACATCATGTATAGTTAAAAATAATATAAAACAAACCTGTAAATAGTTTTAGGAAAATTTTTATTAAAATAGCATGTAATTCTAGCTTAAACACATTAAAACCTGTGTAGAATTTCACTGTACTGAATTACTTTTTCCATTTCAGCAGGTTGCCATTTTGAATAAGTTTTAGTATTTTTTAATGTTTAAACAAAACCAGATAAATGTTACATGGTTACGTTCATTTTTTTAAAGTAAAATCACTTTAACATACAGAAAAAATTTTATTATGTATTCAAATAGTTTCCAGATGTTGTACTTATGAGCTCACATGATAGCAAACAAGATTCAAGTACCAAGAACTAGTATTTTGCTTTGCTGTTGGAAATTCTAATCACATTACAGTAATACAGATACTAAGTTATTCTGTGATCTGGTTTCTATGGGAATTTAATACTCTAATTAATCATCATTTTCAATCTCTGTAAATATCAACATTTAATTAACTTATTCTTAAACTAGCAGACCCTGCCACGCGTTGTTGTGGCTCAAAATGTATTAATTATAAATGTATAACACTTCCCCCATGGGGAGAAATTTTTCGAAAAATTTCTTCTTAGTGTACATTCTCTTGATGCACCCTATTAAAACGCAATCAAAAATGCAAAAAACCACATCTAAAATAGTATAAATAGAAGCAGAGTTCTCTACGGTAAGCCTTAATTAATCCTAACCATCTCCCTTCAGTGGGGGGGAATTTCGACATGTATATTATATAAAAACATGTGCATATTTGAATGCAGCATTGTGTCAAAATTTCAAAGGAATCTGTAGGAACAAACGAACATTACATTTTTATTTATATAGATAAAGATGATCTGCTTTAGTTCATTTTCACAGAAAAGCATAATGCCTCACAGAAAAGCAAACTTAGGGCGTCATACTCGTAGCGCCATCTGTTGGACATAAAAGTCTTAACCTAGATTATATCTTTTAATTTATATCAGGGCTGTGGAGTCGGAGTTGTGGAGTTTTGTTGTTTTGGCGGAGTCAGAGTCATCAAAAAATCTGCCGACTCCAACTCCCTTTTTACTTACCAACTTGTTATGTATATGAAACGGAGTCAGAGTCAGATGGTAAGGAAGAGTCAGAGTTGGAGTCGGTAGATTTTTACACGACTCCACAGCCCTGATTTATATGAATGTTTAACAGAATAATATACACCCTATGTCCACCCTGAACTTCCATTCTAAATATTGGTGAAAGAATTTTTGAAATCAGATGAATAGTTTCAGAGATTACCTGCTACATCCAAACTTACTTACTTACAAACATTACCTCTTTATAATATTAGTATAGATACTTGGTACTAATTAGTTACCAACTAATCTGTACAAAGCAAATTGACAATACTGTGTTACCTGTTCTCATTGTTTTTATGAATTACATTTGTTTGTTTACATTTGAGGACTCGATTCTCCAAAACTCATTCTGATTGTTGAAAGTTCTCAGTTTCTAAAAATATTTGATTTTGCTTCTCAATGTCTGTCTTCTCATCATATGATCTTTGTTTCTCTGTCAAAGTTCAAAATTGTTCCTGGAATAGTTTGTCATGCTCTGTGGTGACGATTAATCTGGAGGCAATTTTTTTCTTAATTTGAATACAGGTAGAATTTTAATTTTCTGTTTTATTGAGGTTAAATTATAGTTATGAACAGTAATATTTATTCACAATCAAATGTTTTTAGTCAAAATGCTAGACCATCTTCAGGAAATAGAACAACTATAAAAAATCTATATTTTTTGAATCAGTTATATATATATTAATATAGCAGTTTGAATAAAATATCATTGTTCAATTTTCTTTAGCATTTAGAAAACAGCATTGGTATCAAATTTTAAATACATTCTTCAAACTCAAAAACAAATTTTTTTATTTTTGAGTATGTACAGGTAGGTTTCTGGCTTTTAGTAAAATTTAGCATAGAAAATCACTCCATTCCAAAGAACTTTTTCTTTTTACATAGTTTTCTGTTTTTGACAGGTTAAATGATTGTGTGTATATACATACTGTCATTTATTTAAATCAGTAATAATTTTAAAAATAATTCTTTATTTTTTATGTAGAATTAGAAACAAATGAACCAGAAGATTGGAGCCCAGAGGATATTTGTTACTTTTGTAATGCAAAGAAACAGCCACCTTACGTAAGTTTAAAATATCAAATAATCTTTTATTATTGAAGATCTTTTGAAAGAGTACTATCTGATCTCATATACTTTTAAATAATCATGTTTTAGAAGTTCAGTATTTCATATTTTGTTTTGCATTACAATGTTTTTATTCAAAATAGTTTATACATGTATATTATCATAAACAATATATAATACAATCTATTATTGATGAGTTGAGTATTAAAACATTTTATTAATTTATGTATTCATTTATATTATGATTATGATTTCAAATGGTGCTGATTATTTAAAAGTCTGTTTTTTTTTTTTTTATTGAAATATTGAAGTTAAAAATTTATATTAACATTAACATTTTATTAATATTATTAAAACTAAACACTTACAAAAGCATGAAATATTTAAATAAATTTTATCAAGATTTTTGAGTATTTTTGATCTTATATTAAAACGTATATACAACATTCATTTCTTAATAATTTAAAGAATATATTTCATTTAAAATTTAAATTATTCATTTATAATTTGTTTGTTGAAGACTACATCAAAAATTTAGAAATATATAGAAATTTACAAAATATCTGAATTGATGAAATTTATATGAAGACCAAAATTACTTTATTTAAAGCTTTAAATTATAAAAATTTTTAAATTTCTATAAAGTCATCTTCAAGAAATTCATAATTGTAATATTTAACTTATCAGTCCATTGAATAGAAAAAAAAATGTAAATGCATTTTATTGTTTGCACTGCATTTTACAGTTTCATACCAAAATATTTTTCTTGTTATAAAATATTAAAATTATAAGAAATAGATTACCATTAATAATTTAAATTTTTTGATAAAAATATAAACTTTAAGCTTACCAAAAACAAAGATTACCGAATTAAATAAGTTTTTAATAAATTGTCCAAAATTACAAAATGAATACATTAGCAGTAAGTAGTAAACAGCTCATACCTTTCCTTCTTAAAATCAGCTGTCTTCTTATGTCAACTATGCTAATAAAAACTTGATTGTCCAAACAAATTTGAATAAACATTTAATTAAACTTGTATTTGGCAAAAACATTCTTGAATGATTTATTAATTTTCTTGTATATTCTTTTAATTGGCATATAAGATTTTGCTCTTTCTCTTTCTTCTTTACTAAACCATTTTTTTCTTGTGTTACAAAATTGAATTGGCAATAGAATTCATTTTCACTATTGTCATTCCTAGGGTTTTTGGGTGGAAAGGAATTCCCACCCATTTTTGGAAATTTTTTGTTTTCCTGTTCCCAGATCCTGAGAAAAGTTGGTTGGGAAAGTGAGAAAATAAGCTTCCAGAACCCAGCACTCTCACAATATATCTTTTAGACATTTTTCTTATTTATCACTATGTAAACTTACATTTTGTTACAATATTACACACCACTGGAAATGCACATATGACAACAGAATTAGATAACACATAACCAACTAATTTTATTTCTTATAAATCGAGCACATTTGATCATAGAGAACATTTTGCATTTACAAAGAAAAATATTTATTTTCACAACCCAGTATTTGACTACGTCATCTTCAGGTAAACTAACTAAAGAAATTTAAGGTAGCTTACCTTAGTATGACATTGTAATCAAATCCTGGGTTGTGAGAATAAATATTTCTCTATGTAAACACAAACTGTTTCAGTTCTCCACAATGAATCATTTCCAAAATGTGATGGCCGATACTACCAACCACATTCAGTTTTTTTCTGGCTGACTATTGTGATGTACAGTGGGTGATCAGTTCGCTTAAATCTATGGTAATCATTAATTGGTTAACGAACAATTTGGTAACAAACATTGTCTGTTTGTTACCCAAATTGTTTGTTAACTAATTAACAATTTACCATAGATTTTTATGGGAATTTGATTAATTTGTTCTGGAGTCCCTAAAAATAAATGAATAAAATATATAATTTCTTATCATGTTTATTGATATGCAATAACAAACTAAAAGCAATCTCTCTATTTTTTCATCTTTATTTCTCAGATGTGATTTTTGTTACTCCTTTATCTGCTTGAGTCTTTTTGATTATATCTTTCTTAGCTAAGATTTTGTGCTCACTATAGACCCTATAGACCTGTTAAAGTCATGCTGCATAGCAACATCAGACATCACCTTCCCACTCTCTACCTTGGCTATTATCTCTTGCTTTAGCTTTAGTTCTGTGGTGAACACAGTTCTTGACACTTCACTCTTTTAAGCCCCATAATATTATAATTTTTTTTAAATAAAAATTTCAGAAAAGCACTTACAAAATTCAAAGAACAGAAATCAGCTAGTGCAATAAAGGTTATGTATAACTGTGAAGGTCTCGTTCCATAAAACATTCCAGTAAAATACAATTTTACAAACCTTAAATGCAGCATTGCTTCTTCTTGTGTTTGTTCTGTGAGATGTTTGTTATCCAAACATGTGTTTGTTGTCCAAACATGAAAATCTTTTGCAAAAGTGTTTGTTGTCCAATTTGTTTGCAATCTGAACTATTCGTTAACCAATCACCCACTGTACAGTAAAACCTCATTATTTCAAAACTTAAGTGACCAAAAAACATGACTTCAAATTAGCCAAACTTTTTTTCGAATAAAATGATGAAATTATCTGATATAATTTCATCCATTTGTTTACAAATGCATCAATATCATGAATTATTACTTAGTAATTTAAGCTATTTCAAAAAACTATCAGTTGGCATTTACTTAATGAAAACAATGAAAACTTAACCAAATTACATTCAAAGGAAGACTTGAAAATAATGTATGAAAGATGCTTAGCCCATTATTACAGATCATCAACAAAGATTAAATATAAAAGATTATATGGAATTCTCAGGAAATACAATTTCTCATTCTCTATTTCCAAAGGTTCCAAAATGTCAGGAATTTGGAAACCCTAGTCACCCCATAGTTTTGCTAATTGTATTCTAAGTTTTGTATTCCATTATTCTGTTTTGCATTCTTGTATTGTTATCATTCTATCCTTATATCCTATTGAACTCATTTCAACTTTTTTCTTTACTGTCAAGTTAACGTCAGGATTTTCATATATGAACTATAATTCTCATATTTCAATTGCAGAGTAAAGATTCATTTCAATTTTCACTATGGTGATTACTGTTCATTCTGTTTTATGTGATGTATGAATTACCATTTGAATTCTTATTTTTGAATTTTGATATATAAAAGAAATAACTTGTTTTCATTATTTCTTCTGCTGAATGCAGATGAGATATTAGGTAACATGAAACTGACAAACAAAAATGATAAGATCTGAATTTCTTTGAGGGGAAAAACGGAGGTACAGGAACAAAATTTTGATTTTGGGACAAAGTAATTAAATTTGGATCAATAATTATGTGCCAGTTTTTAATGATTTTATTCATATATAAACTATATAAAACTTGAAATAAGTTTAAGATATTTAAATTATATTTTTCCAAAAACCATTTTTCAGTCATCATTGCAGATGATTAATTCTTCCATGATTCCATTTAAGTTTAATTTTGCTACTTTATCTCTATGTGCATGAAGTAATATAACAGTATTATGCATTTCTTAAACATTGTAGATCTAAGGTACATTTTTAAATATGTTACATAGCACTAAACAAATGTTCTGCTAAAGCAGCTGATGATAGAATTGTAATAATCAAAATAACCAAATGCATTCTTTGATTTAAAAGTTGCTTTGCTGGATGTGGAGACAAAATATATACTTTTCCCCCACATGATAATTATACAACTGCTGCTTCAACATCCATCTCTGGTGCCACTGGAGAAAAAATTGTTACCATTATATAAAAAGATGTTAGATTATTAAACTTTCTCAATATATCTTTCAGTCCTGTCCAGATTTGCTTAACTCCTCTTTAATTCCACCTGTCCTGATGCCCTTTAATCTGTTCCTTCCTATTCTTCTTCATTTCCTTCTCTTCTCCAAGGCTCTTTTTCTTTAAAGACAAACAATATTTTTTACAGCTAGTGTTATAAATCTTAATTCTGTTAATCTTTTTGTTTTAAAGAAAAAAATGGTATTTCTAAACAAAATCTTATAAAAGCAGTGGTCTAAATCAATTTAGTATGATTTAATATTTTGATATATTCATTTTAACAATCATTAATCAACATATAGAGAAGCTAAATAACAGATATTTTCATTCTAAGAACTTGTCTCATTATATATGGTATTTGATTCTTATATGATATTTTGATATTTTCATTTATCTACAATAGATACAAGAAATGGAAATTAGTATGAACTGACATTATGATTTTGTATCACATCTTAAAGGTACCGGTACATCATTAACGTCAGTTAAACAAANAATTTATATATATATATATATATTTTTTTTTTTAAGTAAAAATTTAAAATGAAAGTTATTTGTGTTATTAATTATCAGACTATTATACTTCCATATTCTTTTTAGTTTACAGTATTTTGAAATTCATAAATATATATATTATTTCATAAATCTATAAAATCTCCTTCATTTTAAAATATCTATAAGTTTTTTCATAATAGTATTATGTTTCTATGTTTAGCTTTATATTACACATTCTGCTTTTTGCCATTTATATTATGGAATTAAATCTCTCTTAATTCACTGCTGTTAAAATGTTCATATAATACATCAAACAATTTTTTCTTTTTCTTATCTGAGAGGAGAGAGTTGGCAACCCTAGTAACTTCAAACTCTATAAATCTTAGCTAAAGTAATACATTGTGTTTTATATTTACAGTGTTTATAAGTAGTATTGTACAGCATGTATATGCATTTATAAGAAACTGAAAATTTTTAACACAAGATGCACATGTATGTGTTCATACTTTTAAAAAATCAGTAATTTTTTGTAATCTTAAAAACACTCGTGCTTTTTTTGTACCTAATTTCAGTAAAATTTGTTTTGTTCAGTTTCTTCTTGCTTTCTGTATCAAAAAATTCAATTACTTGACACTGATTTTTGTGCTTTAGTGTGACTA